CCCCAAAACCCCAAAACCCCAAAACCCCAAAACCCCTGATTTTCTGGCAATAATTGAATTAAATAATAGAATTAGTTTTTCTTTTTGAGTTGCTCAAGTTCTTTTTTCAGCTGAAGGATTGTATTATCTTTCTGGCTCATCTCCTTCCTCAAATTTTGAATCATCTTTTCTCTTGTATCTTCTTTGTGGTACTGAACAAGGTCAAAATGATCTATTTCTTCAGCCTGGTGCTTTTTCTTAGTACTAGACTTTCTGCTTTGAACTTCAAGGACACTGCTGCTGCCGCTTTCACTTGATTTCACAGAATTCTTCATCATTTTCTCTTTGAAAGAGTTGAATTTGCGGACCATTTCACCTAGCAAGGACTTGTACTTTTGGTTTTCGAATTTTAGTTTAGTGTACTCCTTCATGTTGATTACATTTTTACTGGAGGCAGAAATAGTTCTAGACTTGCGGCTAGCTCTTGAGTGACGGCTATTCACTGAGTCATTATCCTTTCTGTTAGACTTAGACAGACTTCTAAGCTTAAAATTAGCCCCTACGACTCCAAATTTTTTGTATCTCTTGGAGACTTTGTTCTCTAGATTAGCATTTCCTTTGAGCTTTTTGACTTCAGATTTACTAGTATTTCTTTTTTTCTCAAAATTGAATTCTTTATTTCTGCTGAAATATGCCTGATCTCATGTTAGCTTTACTCGCGCCTTGTAGAGAAATCTATATGATCATTTATCACCCGTACAGCGTTCTCTGAGATAGATATACTGTTGTTGATAGAGCCACTAGCTCTCTTGTTGAACGTCATTTTGCTAGAAATTTGAGAGTTTGAAGGCTTTTTGTTGTAATCTGTTCCTCTTTCTAGACTTCTGGCAATCCTCTTATCCTCTTCAACTATTATAGCACCTTTAGGAGAGGTCTTCTCTAGGGGTGGGAAGGAACCCTCTGTTGTTAGGTTGAACTCACTGTAACTGTCTATTGAGTTATTTTCATGCTGGTTCATTGATAAATCAATTATGTTATTTTCTCTTCGTTTAGACGCCTTCTTTTTAGCATTTCTCAAGCTTGTGTTAAATTTTAGTTTTGAGTTTTTCTTGTAGAGACCAAAAGCAGGATTTTTAAACTTAATATTTTCCTTGTACGGATTCTTGAGACTTTTCAAGTTAGGGAATTTCTCAAATTTATTTCTTCAGAGATGCCCTATTCTTACCCAGAACACTATTGTTGAGATTTTTCTTGATCCGAGTGGAGGAATTATTAGAGCCCGAGTTGGACTTGGCATCATCGCCCATTGTCATCATCCTCCCGTTGCCTAAGTTATTTGAAACACTTCTCGCATTTTGTCTATCAATTAATTTTTGTAGTTTAGAGAAGAATTTAATTTTAGCTTCCATAATATCTTTATTAGTAAGCTTCATATCATCTGGAGTAGCCATGATCTGGAAAGCACGGAAGAAATCTTTAAAGCTAAAATATTGGGCTCTGGAACCTCCTCTATTTGCATTTGGAAGAGCCTCTGCTCTTCCAATATTTTTCATCCTTCGTGATTATACTCTTGGCCTTGTCGAATGAAATGAGGGTTGGCCATATGTTGAGAGCTTTACAGATTCCAAAGAATTTAGCACTTGGGAGAAACTTGTTTTTATCTCATTGTGAGTAAAACAATGATTTTAACTGCGCCATATTTACTATAAAAATGATCACTCTCTGTAATAACCAACTGAAAAAAATTGGAGCATATATTGAGCCATATAAACTCTTTAAAACCATTTTATGAAACTACCAAGTTGTTAGAGATCTAATTAAACAAAACAATGAACAGATTGCTAAATGATAGTTACCATTAACCTTTGACATCTCTGTTTTTGAATTTAATTTTATCTTATCAATTTTTTAACTAGATTAAGGGGTTTTGGGGTTTTGGGGTTTTGGGGTTTTGGGGTTTTGGGGTTTTGGGG